AAAAAAGTATATGGAAAAATAAAAATCAAGTTTAAGTCATTTTATTCGACTTTACGTCTGTCCGCCACAAATATTGAAGTCGTAATATCACTAGATAAACGTTTAAAGCACATAAAATCATATTAAAATATATACAAGTATGTACTGTATTTACAGTACATGCATTCGTAAATTTAGATTACTTTTGTTCTGTACTATATTAAAAAGTAAAATTTATTTGTTTGTTAGCTTAAAATAGATTTTTATTAACCATATATTATTAAAAATGCATTAATAAATAAAATACAGAACCAGGAATGGTAATTTATGGTTTAGCCTAGTGATAAGTAGATTCGGAGACAAGTAAATTCGACTTACGTCGTTCTCCTGGAACCAATTACCGACGTCAGGCGAGGTATACCTGTATTTTTTTTTTATCTAACTTAGTTTTTAACATATGACAATTCCATTACTGTTTTGTTTCTTTGGCAACTTTTCAAATAGTATATATACTTCTGCAATAGATTTATATAAAGGCCCACTGCTAAACAATGTCTGCATCAATTATTGCTTTTTATAGGAATCACAAGTGCAAACAATTTTGTTAGAATTACAAATTTTAATTGTGTGGTCTTCCTTCTGTAAAACTCTTTACAAAGTATAAATTTTTCATTCTGAAACCTGTGGATAACATATTTAGAATTCAATATTCTTTCAGTTTTTTGCTTCAGATTTCTTATTCCTAGTGGACTATAAAAATTTTGCAAATGTTTTAAATTATTATTATTAATTGTAAATATAACAAAATCATCATGTAATTTATGTACTTTATTTTGATGTTTTTCTTATGTAAAAGCTCTACTATTCGCGTTTTTCACCGGATGCTCGCCCTCTGGTGTTTAAAAACAGAACTACTCTATCTGGATCGTTTGAATGTTCTTCGTATATTGTCAACAGTAAAGATGAATAGTAAAAGTAAAGCTTTCTGTTGTGTTCCAAATTGTAATTCCAAAGCCATACGTGATCCCGATATAAGTTTTCATGTATTCCCACATGAAAAACAGATAATTTTTTGTAAATCAGAATTCGAAGAATCTCAGAAATGTAACCAACGGAAAGAGTGAATTTGACTGCTAAGAATTGGCAAAAAAGTTACGAAATACATGGTAGTATGTTCGAAACATTTTACTCCTGAAGATTATATTTTGTCATGTAAGTATGCTATCGTGTTTTTATAAATATGTTTAGATTATTGTAATTCGATAGTATTAAAAAATCAAACTGAAAAAGATTGCATAGAGTCTAAATATAAAGTAATTTAGTATTTGTATTCATTTTTAACCTATACTATAGGATTATCTTCAATAAAATGTAATTCTATTCAATTTTATATGATATGTCGATAAACTTTAAAATTCCAGTAATTTTGTGTGGGATAGAAGTCAATGCTGATGTTTGCAGACAAAGAGCACAAAAATGTACAGAACGATCTTGCTCGTTTTTCTCGATAATACCACATAAAATGACGTGTCCTGCTAGTAATACTTGTTCTCCTTCTATAAAATTTCTCGATGAACTGCTACAAGTAGCATATTTCATTATATCAGATGTCAATGTAAAATGAATTATATATTACTGACTAACAAACGACCCAGATAGAGTAGCCATTTTGTAAAAATACAGCGCCCTCTATAGTTCATGAAAAACGCGAATAACGTGTAAGTTCTCAAGTATTCTCTGAATTTTATCTGTTGCTTCTTGTTCTCATTGTTTCTAAATGGTTGAGTCGAGAAAAAATCACCCGATGTTGCTTGAAACAGTAGATCATTGGGATCTCCAAATATATCCTGTAAAAAACAATTATAAAAATTAAATTCATAAGAAAATATTTCTTAGTATTAAAAACTTTCTTTCAGTTCAAATTTTAAAAACTATAAAATTATAAACAAAATTATAAGTTTAAAAAATTAATAAACAAGTTTCTCCTTTAAATTTTTTTATATGTTGAAAATTTTTAATACATACATCTAAGCTATTTTTAGTTTTATTTTGACTATATTGCAAATTTCTCAGTTTTAAAGCCACGTTTTCATAATGTTGTCTGATACACAACGAAGGAGAGGTCTTAGGAAAATTAGTCGTTAGTGTTTTGGTTAATGCTTTTTCATTATTGCTGCAGTGGCATGAAGATTTATTAGTCCATGTTTTAAAGTTTGAAAAAAATAATTATAAACTTCATTTGTTTTTGTAGTACATATTATTATTATTGGTCCCAAAAATCTTTTAACTTGTAGTCTAGTGTCAGAATATGTAGTAGTAAGCACAAAAAATTTTATAGAATTTAAATGTTAAGTCTATACATAAGACAGATAAGAATTCTCCATTTCCATGGCAACAAAAACTGATATTAATTGTTTGTCATTGAATAATACAGGGTGTTTATAAATGAATGGTGTGGTTTTAAAAATTAATAAAAAATCTATTTATTACCTTATATGGGCAAACCTTACACTATAAGCAGTGGCAATTGTCCAAGTTTTTTATGCATTAATCACAATCCTTCAGTATGTGCACCCATAGTCACATGACACACATCTACACGGTAATCAAATTCTTTCCATATGCGGTGTAGCATGTCCTCAGTGATGGTCTGCAGTGCATGACAAACGAAGAGCAGGTAGCACATAAAAAACTTGGACAGTGGGTTGGCCCATATAAGGTAATAAATAGATTTATTATTAATATAAATTCAACTATTAAAACCAATGGGATCGGTGGTAATATTAACACACTAAAAATAAAAAATTTTTAGTTAAAATACAAGTAAAAATTATACTCTTTCTATTTCCGACTTCGAGGATTCTATGAGCCAAAACAAGACAAACAAATAGCAAGGAACAATCATCATTTTATTAATTTTATCCATATGCATTTCGCCATCTAGGCCTCCTCAGTGGATACATCAGGATGTTATTCGTTGGTTACGTTTTATACCCAACAGCCGTTCCCAGCATGCATCAACAATCATTCCAGCATTCAAATTAAGTAAATTTACATGTTCGGCGATACAGAAATGTTCTACAATTTTTCTTTCTAAGTTATTTTCTATTCTATACAAAATTTTAGTATTTTTTATATTTATATTACAATTAAATTTTCTGCAATGTAAAAACCATGCTGATTCCGTTCTTCTCAGTCTAATGGCTGCCTCATGTTCCTTTACTCTCAACTCCAATCTTCTTCCGGTTTCTCCAATGTAATAATTTGGGCTTCCACATGTACATGACATCCTATATACGACACCGGCGATTTTAAATTGGTCTCTGGGCGAATTTTCACTGTTTATTATGCTGATAATGTTTGACATCTTATTCTTTTGGCTCGCAACTATGCATACAGAAAATTTTTTAAATATTGGTTTATATTTTTCAAAAACTTTAGTAACATAAGGAAACTTTACATAAGAAATATCTTCTATGCTGTTTTTAACATTAAATCTACGTTTTAAATATAAATTGTACCACTTACAGAGAATATGCTTCGGATAATCATTTAACTGAAATTTTTTAAACAATTGTTTTACTTCGATGTCTATGTTTTCTTGCTGAGTTGTTCGATTTAGTATCTTTCTCAATTCCATATTAAAGACATTCTTTTTATTTTCTAAAGGACAGTAAGATTTAAAGTTAATAGTTTTACCATTATTACATAGTTTTTCATACTTACTAAATGATACACTTGTTTCTTCTCTTTTTATGGTGACATCTAAGAAATTCATTTTATTTTGTTGTTCATCTTCACTTGTAAACTTTAAATTTTTATGTAATCTATTTGCATATTCCTCAATGTGTTTGGATGAAACTATTTGAGAATCATAAACTATTATTATGTCATCTACATATCTTGCATAATATTTAATACCTGTTAGACTTGAAATTCTTTCATCTATTTTATTCATATAGTTATCAGCCAATTTTGGTCCTATAACCGATCCCATGGCAATACCTTTCTTCTGCCTATAATACTCTGTAGAAATTTTAAAGTAATTATTATTAAATACAAATTTTACAAGTTCTATTATATATTCAGGAACGTTATATGTTTTGAGACTTTCTATTATCATTTCTAAAGTGATAGACGGGTACATAGACTTTATATCCAAACTCATAATACGAAAAGATTTTTTATAGTTACCTTTTAACAATCCGTTAATTAGTTCTTCTGTATTTTGTATACTATAGGTTGATTTCTCCATATTCTGAAAGAAATTTTTTAAAAAACATTCCAAATTATACAAAACAGTTCTTCTAAAATCCACAAGGGGTCTGCAAGTATTACCAGGCTTATGTGTTTTGATTCTTACATTTAACTTAGGTTCTCTTACATTATTAAAGTCCAAAATATTTTTAACTTGATTGGCTGGAATTTCATTCTTATATTTTTTAATTAATTTAGTAAGATTGCTTTTAATTTCTTCAATAGGATTTCTTGGTAATAATTCATAGTCATCCGATGAAATTATTTCTAATTTTTTGGATAACAATTCCTCCTTTTTAATAATCACCAATTGCTTTGATTTATCTGCCATGACTAAAGAAATATGTTTTTTGTTAAAAAATTTGATTAATCTTTTCATTTTTTTAGCTATTTTAACAGCTTTTTTATCTATAATATAACTACTATTTTTATTTTCACCTTTAAATTTGTTTAAATCCTTACTTATGGCTGTTCTTAGTTTTGTTTGTTCTTCTTTACTTCCTGGGAGTTTCCTTATTGCATGTTCTATTTCCGCAATTATTGGCAAATTCTTAGACTGCATTGGAAGATTCATACTCATACCTAAAGAAAGGATTCTTAAATAATCATTTGGTTTATTCAGATTTATTATTAATTTTTAAAACTGCACCATTCATTTATAAACACCCTGTATAATACAATCCTTGTTGACAAAGAGGTTGTGATTTGATGTGATGTGGAAGATTGTGAGATGATGATGTAATGTGAAATTTTTGCTTAGCATTAACTCAGTGACATTGGCCAAGGCATCTGAACTTTTATTGGATTGGTTTTAAATTCAATTGTAGAATATTGTGACTGTAGGGTCGGTGTCTCTTTGACACCCTACAGTTACTCTTGGGACTTGGAAAACGCGACTTTACATCACGTGAGCAGTTGGATTCGGAGTAGAGGTGAAGCGAGAGGAATGAGGAAGTGATTCACTCAGATTCCATATTAATAAACAAGAACAAATTTATTTTAATGAGCAGGAGTAAACGATATACGATCTTATCCAGATTGTCTTAAATTTAATTGTCGCGAGAGAGAGAGGTTACAGGATATTCGTGTGTGGATAAATACCTTATATAGAAGTTGAGGATTGATGACTGGATGATTCACAGTCCGGATTCTTGGGGTGTTTGATGGGTGTGGTTCTTGATATTTAGAGTGTTCAGGTAACAGGAGCAACTTCGGAGGATGTCCAACTTTAGGTGTGTAAGATATCTTTATGATAAGGTCAGCGGATGCACAGTATTTTGCACAGTAGAAATTCTTGAAGAGACGAACTTTGGAGGACGACTGACTTGGGTTTTTCATTGCCTTCCCTTGCTATTTTTCTTGGGTTTTTTTTCATGATGTCAGGAGTTTGTTGTTAAGGGTCTGGCATCCAATACTGGAAATGTATCGAAAGTTTTGGGTGACACATTAATGACCAGATGGATCATCCTCAACAAGGAAGCAAGTCTGTGGGAAACAATTTTCATGGATTTTAGTCTGATTTTTGATAAAATGATCAAATTTAAATGATTGAATTCCAAAATAATTAAAATTTAAAATAACACTTTATTGATGGTCTGTTTGTCCCTCACAATATAATAGTAATATAATTGCGAACTAGTAATACGTAAACTGGAAAAAGACATCTTGAAAGATTTCTTAGAGGATATTATATTCTACTAATGTTGTGTTGATGACGTGTTTATAATTTGGAAAGATAACCAACAAATTGAAGACTTCTTACTTGCAATCAATAATAATGGCCATGGTTAAAACTAAAATTAGAACAAAAAAAAACTATGTATACTCATCTCCATTTTTTAGACATTGTACATTTGCTTGTTTAAATTTTATATCAAATGGTGTATTTAAAACCCATGCATGCTCCCCTATATATACCATTTTGGTCCAATGAGCCATATAAATACAAGTTATCAGCATTTAAGGTGCTTATTAGAAGAGTATTTTTATACTGCACCAATGTTCAGGACCGTATTAAGGAGATTAGTAGAATTAAAAGAATTGCAACAAACTAGGCTACAAAACTGCCACAATAGAAGGCTTGGTCAAAAGTTACAGACAACATAAAGGCAAAAAAGATATTAAAGTAGATGCAATTAACAAATTCACATACAATAAGCATATACAGGGTGTTCGCAAAGTCTGGGCACATAAGGATAAACACATACTTTTAAAACAAAATAATTTTATTTGATTCTAATATTAATAAAAAACATTTTCAATATGATTTCCATCATTTTCAATACATAATTTGATGCACCTTGCAAAATTCAGGTGAACTCGATTAAATAGGTCTGTATTGCCGTCGATTTCAGCACACTGACTGGTAATGGTGTCCACAAATTATGGTGCATCAAATTATGTATTGAAAATGATGGAAATCATATTGAAAATGTTATTAATATTAGAATCAAATAAAATTATTTTGTTTTAAAAGTATGTGTTTATCCTTATGTACCCAGACTTTGTGGACACCCTGTAGGAGGAGTGATAAAGGAATTGAATACTTATAAAAATGCGAGAATGGTATATAAAAGAGCACCCAACGTCTACAGCTTAATAAGGAACGATAAAGACATCATAAAAATGCAAGAGAAAGCTGGAGTTTATAAAATACCATTTGAAATCCAGGAATTAAGAATAGCAAAGGATTATGTGGATGTAATCAGAAGAAACTTGGCAATATGTCTGCAAGAACACAAATCAAACGTCAATAAAAGGCACAACAACACCATTTTAGCAATCGAACAGAAGGAGCGAACGTAAAATGGGATGAGGCAAAAATCATTAAAATGGTCCAATCTCCAATTATTGCATTAGAAATGGGAAAAATGGAAATATATAAAAGTAAAATGAAAAACCATTGCCCTAAATGCCAAAGATGCTAATATGCTTCCAACTGCATGGAAGTACATGATAGAAAAAAGCATGGGAATTAAAATATCCTTAAAGGTTGTAGTAGTTATACATAGCCTTGTTACTGTGTTTATTTATTTATGCTATTTATTGGGTTGTTTGGAAAGTAATTTCGTTTTTTTTTTCTGTGGAAAAAAACACAATATTATATACACAATTACTGCAAAAATCTTTTAAATATAAAATGAAATGTATTCAAAAAATGTTGTGTTCCATTTTGGAACAGTAATCGTAAACCTGAAGATGGCCTATAATAAATAGGTTGAACATGTTTGAGAATAAAATAATTTATGCTTGGCAAAAAATTTTGGTGTGTTGATATAAGGTACATTTCAANTTTTTTTTTTTCTGTGGAAAAAAACACAATATTTTTATAATAAATAAATATTTTATTGAATTATATATTGCCCATTTTGGTCCAAATACCTGTTGTCATCGTTTCTGGTAGTAGCATGATTTCACATTCATAAAAGTTTTGATCGTTGCTTACAAAAAACTGATCCAAGTGATTTTTGACATTGAAAATGTAAGTTGTCATGTAAGATTTTGATTTTAAATGTAAGATTTTTGACATTGAAAATGTAAGTGATTTTTGACATTGAAAAGTAAATGTCTTACAGTTAAAAAAATTTTGTATAGAATGGAACAAGTAATAATCTGAGTGTGCTCCATCTGGCAAATATGGTTTGTGTGATAGCACATCCATCTAAGTTATAACAGTTTCTGACGAGTTACCAAACTTGTGTGAAAGTTGACATTATCATGGTAAAACACTACACCTGTTTTGTTGATGAATTCTGGCCACTGGCCATTTTCTGTTTGATGATATTACTTAATTTGTTTACTGGATGGCAGTACACTTTCGAATCAATTGTTAAATTGTCTGTAAATGCTCCAAAAAAATTTCCTTAAAATTCCACCAAAGAGCATCTCTCTAAGAACATGTGGAACCCATAAGTCGAGCTTTGAAACGAAACCAATTTCTTTCGAGTACTCATAAACAGTTCAGTTTGACAAATTTAATTTCTTAGTGATTTCACGTGTTGTTATTTGGCAGTTTGCTTCAACCAGCATCTTTATTTTGTTTTCATTGGCTTCAACTGGCATTCCAGAATGTGGTGCATCTTCAATATTGAAATTGCCAAAACGAAATTTTGTAAACCAGTTTTGGCACCGTCATTCTGTCAATACATCTTCTCCATACATGTCATACAATTTTTTTTCTTGCTTGAACATCGTTTTTACCTTTTCGGTAATAAAAGAGCAAAATATGCCGAAAATGCTGCTTTCGATCTACCATATTTGATGGGACAAAAAAAATAAGCAATTGCACAAAATCAAACAAAAGTTTTTACAAATAAGCCTTAAAATGCTAGCTGTCAAAATATATAATGATGATACGGTTTAGAATGAAAATGGTGGGAAAAATACGACTAATCCGTCTAGTGGTAAAAAAAAACGAAATTACTTTCTGAACAACCCAATAGTTTATTTTATTTACTGTTGTTTATTGTATTAGTTTATTTTTTCATTTATTTAAAATACACAATTATTGTAAAAATCTTTTAAATTTAAAATGAAACATATTCAAAAAACTTTGCATTCCATTTTGGAACGGAAATCGTAAGCTTGAATATTGCCTATAATAAGTAGGTTGAAAACGTTTGAGAATAAAATAATTTATGCTAGACGAAAATAATTTAGGTGTGTTGATATAATTATGTTCTGGTTATTTTATATGATATATTCTCATCTGTGGATGTTTCAAATTTTTAACATTAATTAGATACCACAAATTAGAGAAAACATTTAGTGATTAAATCATTTCTAGATTGATTTCTAGAAATGATTTCTAGATTCACATCAGAAATCATTTCTAGACTGAATTGCTCAAAATTAACTGATAGTGGCAATACAGGTAACCCCCCGTATAACACGGCACTTCTATAGCATGGATTCGCTCTTAACACGGTTCGAGAATTGGTACCATCCCCCGTATAACACGGTACTTTTATAGCACGGATTCACTCTGACACGGTTCGAGAATTAGGTAAAACCCTCGTACAACAGAAAATGTAATAAATTTTTACATATTTAACTAATAATAGTTCACAAAAATTATTATTTTCGTGAACTATTTGTACTTAAGTATGTAAATTTTCTCTTCTCGCCTTCTGTCGATACAGGTGGTCCTTCTCGAAACTTGTTTCAATGTTGCCAGATCGCGACGCTTCTGCTTCTGATGTTGCCGAATGTTTTTCTTTTATTCCATACTTGCTTTATTCTTCATAAGTGCTTAGCACCATATAAGGAAATTTATAAAGACCTTTTAACTAGAAGCAAGCAATCTAAAATTACATACATTTTGCAAAAGGTAAAGCATGGATCTGAAGATAATGCAGAAAAATGCTAGAGGATAAGGATAACTTGCCAAAAAGAAAACGCTCTCGGTTAATTAATAGTGTTTTTAGTAATGACGAAGAAAATATTGTTTAATTTATATTAATATGTATCACTTAAAAAATTTTAATGAAGATATTTATCTTAATTATGAAAATATACCATCATGTTTTTTTTTAACTTTTGGAACCTAACCCTCCTTTTCGTATTAGTTCTTTGTTTCATATAACACGGATTTGCATAACACGGCAATTTTTTGGAACGTAACTACCGTGTTATACGGGGGTTACCTGTATTTCAGTATTATCATAAGATTTTAGTTTTTCTTCAGGA